TATAAATACTAAATTAAAAAATTAATTATTTAAATAATATATAATATTATATAAAAAATTATTTTTAAACCATTTTCCTTATGAATTATGATAAGAGTACAAATAGAAAAAAAAAAAAAAAGAAATTAGGAAACGTAAAACGAGGAAAGAAATTTATATGGTTTCGCCAAACAGTGCTCACACCCATTACTCCCATCACTCTTTTTCTTTGGGCCAGATTTGATCCTTTAAACCCTCCGGCGCTGCAGTGCAATATAACCAATCGGCACCGGAGCCAAACTCCGTCATGGCCTCCGCCAAACCTCTCGATCTCGAGATCACGATAATATCTGCGAAGCACCTCCACAACGTTAACTGGAGAAACGGCGATTTAAAGCCCTACGTCGTTTTCTACCTCGACTCAGACCACCGACTCGCCACGCGCTCCGACGACTCGGGCTCAACTCGCCCCATTTGGAACGAGAGCTTCACGCTTCCGATCACTCGCCCGATCTACGACTCGGTCCTCACCATCGACATCTTCCACTTCAGTTCATCCGATGCACCCAAGCCGCTCGTTGGATCGCTTAAGTTCCCCTTGACTCAGCTGGTCGACTCCGCCGATTCTAACTCCGTCCGCACACTCGAGCTTCTCCGTTCGTCCGGCCGCCCGCAGGGGAAAATCCGCATCAAACTCGTTGTCAAGGAGCGCCAGCTGCAAGATTATCAAAGTACCCCTCGAGATAGCTATTATTACACTACTGCCACTGTGTCTGTGCCTGTCTATAGGGAGTACTCCCCTTACTCTGACAATTCCTACCATTATGCATCGCAACCGCCGCCGCCGCCGCCGCCACCGCCGTCACGACTAATTTACAACCGAGAGTCCTACTACTACGGTGCACCAAGTATTCCCTCTGCACCAGTTGATATTTCTCCATGTGAAGAGCACAAGCCACCACCTCTCAGCTCCAACCATGGTGGACCGTCTGCTCCTGTTGATTACTCACCTTGTGACCAGAAGGAATTTGAAGGACTAAGTATGGGGAGAAACAACGTTGAGAAGGAGCAACTCACATAGAGGTTCGAGGGCGATTTTGCTGCGACACAGAGCTATGGTTACAGTGAGTATGAGCCGGCATTGTTGAATGACTAAAAGTCCTGAAAGCCCCCCATTATTAGGTAAACTTGAGTGACAAAGTCTTGTGGCTTTGTGAGGCATTTACTATACTTGTATATAAGTATATGTAGCTTAATTATGAATTCACTAATTAAATGTTTGGAGAGCTAGAAAGATTGGATTTTGAATTCTATTTCACCCTTTTTAATGAGATGATTAATATAATTTTGGATGGTGTTTTCTTTCTAATGTTATGTTAAACCTTGTGCTTGACTTAGGAACAAGGGGGACAGTCTTGATTTATGCTCCCTCTCATGTGTGCTTCCAATTCCATACTCATTTTCATGAAGACAGATTTCAAAAGGTTGCAAGGGGATCAGATGTAATTTTTATTTGAAACTTTCATTTGATTTGAATTTTTTTTTTTACTTGGCAAAGACATGGACGGCAAATGGATGAATAGAATTTATTTGATTTTGTTTTGTTTTGCTTCGATACAATCTTACATTATCTAAATACTTATAATTAATTTTTTTGGGTAAAAACTAGCGCTCCTTGTTTACTAGTTGACTATTGGTCCAATAAGGGCTCGTGAGTTCTCTTCATCATGTCACGTGGAAGGTGTCTCTCTTATCATACAAATATGCTCCGTTCACTTAATGGGTTTATGCCTTTGGCTGTAAAATGTTTGGTCTAATCTGCTTTTACACTGGAACTTGGCATAAATGGATAGGGGTTTTGATGTACAATTTTTAATCTTCAATCAAAATGAATTGACTGCATGAAAATGTGATAACACTGCACTTGAGAACTGAGGATCTCTTCTTTTGGATTCATGCTCCTTTCAATGATCTTTTATAAATTTATTTTTTTAAAAAATGATTTCTTTATTATTATTATTTCTTAATATTCAGAACAATATTTGTGAGGGTAACAGAGATCGGGGTCAAAAGAAATGCCATATGAGTCATCCAACTTACATGGTTCCTCACAAGAATGTGTAATTGTGCATGCAACTCCCTTGATATTTCTACATGCTATTAAGAAAGGCATTTATTTTTCCCCTTCAACCATTGTTGGTTTGTCCTACTTTTGATTTTCCATGATCACATTTTACTTATTGAAGATACTCTGATAATCAAAGTTTTTCTCTTCAATAATTTTACCATATATCAGACAGGGTTCAATTAAGTGGTAACTTAAACAATCATTATCAATTTTTATTTGTTCATTTTTGAAATCCTGCCCAGGCATGAGAGATTTGCAATGTAGTTTTACCACTGGAGTGAAAATAAGTCAGCCCATGAAGCAGAATCTGCCCTCATAGATCAGCTTGCCCAAACCATCAATGGGAGTCATTCCCTGTTCAAGCACGAAAACAATGGAAGCACACTCCCTACGCGGGCATTACCCCGTTCAGGTTCAAAGGGACTTTCTCAGCCTGATCTGCCCAGCCCTGGGAGCCATAAAATGCCAGGCGCTAAGGCTGATGCAGGCACCCCTGGTGCTTTTTTATGTCAATAGAACGGCAAAAACAATAAACAAGTAGATGGAAATTTTAACACACACATTCCATTATTACCAAGACTTAAAAGAGACTAGCAGAACTAACAAAGTCTTAAAAGTTACTCAACAAACCATGCTAGTACTCACCAAAAGTACCATACTTAAGAACTGCATTTCACTGTTATTATTGAGCTAATCATGCATCAGACTCGAAGGATTTTCAGAGCGATTTCCATTGTTCATGCGTTCCTGCAAAGAGATCCCATTTAGACAGCCCACAAAAATCTATGTTATGATAGAAGGAAACCAAGCAAGTACAGGGAAAACTGATGTCCATTTAGTATTTAGTAGTCATAAAACAAATAAGACTCATAGAACCAACCTTTGCTTGGCAGCAGAACTAATGTAATCTGCAGGCAAGTAGATTTCTCCACCAACTTCACCATGTTGTTCCCCACTAACAGTTTTTTTAGCAGCCAGGAATTCAGCGCTCATAGCATCCATCCCTTGCTGCACAGCTTCCTCAGGACTTCCATAACCATGCTCCTCAGCATACTTACGAACATCCTCAGTTATCTTCATGGAGCAAAATTTTGGTCCACACATGGAGCAAAAATGAGCCACTTTGGCACCTTCTGCTGGCAGAGTTTCATCATGGAAGGACATGGCAGTCATAGGGTCTAATGATAAAGCAAACTGGTCCATCCATCGGAATTCAAATCTTGCCTTGCTTAATGCATCATCCCAAGCCTGAGCATGTGGATGACCTTTGGCTAAATCAGCAGCATGGGCAGCTATCTTATATGCAATAACTCCAGCCTTCACGTCATCTCTATTTGGCAACCCAAGGTGCTCCTTTGGAGTTACATAACAGAGAAGTGCTGTGCCAAGAGCTCCAATGTTGGCTGCACCAATTGCAGAGGTGATATGGTCATATCCAGGGGCAATATCAGTTGTCAGAGGACCAAGAGTATAGAAAGGTGCTTCATTGCACCACTCCAGCTGTTTTTGCATATTTTCAGGAATCTTGTGCATTGGAATATGACCTGGTCCTTCATTCATTACCTGAAGTGACAAAACATTATATTGGAGGTGAAAACAGAAAACTAAAAGCAAGCATTTCAATTTGATGAACCATTATAACAATGAAAAAAAAAAAAAATCAATGACATATTCAGAAGTCAGAGTGCTAAATATACTGAGATTGTGAGATACATGCTGTGCTTAGATCTAAAGCAAGAACTCTCAAATTTTAGAAGTAGATCCGCTACAAATATTTAAATGGGATTACATATTGAAAACATCTTAATCAGATTTCATGAGATAGTCAAAATGGGGTCCAAAGAACATGTTAAGTTTGACAGAATTCTTCTATATTCTTGTAGACTTATGCAGCATAGCTTTCATGAAATAGTTTTATAATGCAAATACCTGAACATCCTTTTCCCATGCCCTGCGGGTCAGTTCCCCTTGCGTTAAAAGCTCTGCAAACTGAGCACTGTCATTAGCATCATATATAGATCCAGGCCTCAACCCATCCCCTATTGAGAGAGCCACATCATATTGATTGCATATGTCAAGTATGTCATCCCAGTGTTCATAGGCAAAGTTCTCCTTGTGGTAAGCTAAGCACCATTTTGCATGAATAGATCCCCCTCGTGAGACAATTCCTGTCATGCGTTTTGCAGTCAAGGGAATGTATCGCAACAGAACGCCAGCATGGATAGTGAAGTAGTCTACACCTTGCTCAGCTTGTTCAATGAGGGTATCCCTGAAGACCTCCCAGCTAAGATTTTCAGCAATTCCATTCACCTTTTCAAGTGCTTGATAGATAGGGACTGTCCCCACTGGCACAGCGGAGTTACGTAAGATCCATTCACGAGTCTCATGAATGTGGCGTCCAGTAGAGAGATCCATAACGGTGTCAGCGCCCCACATGGTTGCCCACTGAACCTTATAAACTTCTTCCTCAATAGAGCTTGCAACAGCTGAATTCCCAATATTTGCATTAACTTTGACCAAAAAATTCCTTCCAACAATCATGGGCTCCAGCTCTAAGTGCTTCTTGTTGGAAGGAATAATTGCCCTCCCTCGAGCAACCTCTGACCTCACAAACTCGGGGTCAAGCTTCTCACGAGTAGCACAATATAACATTTCCTCAGTTATGATTCCCTGCTTAGCATAGTACATCTGAGTGTATCTTGGTGCACCCTGCTTCTCTCGCCTGTCAATCCAGTCCTTTCGCAGTTTAGGGAGTCCTGTTTTGGGATATCATTAACAAGATGCTTTTAAACTTTTATGATCCAATTTAATGACAGTTAAGCTTATATGATAAGAATAAAAAAGCCTGCAAACTAAACTTGATCTCCATACCAACACGTGGACTAATTTTCTGAGGGCCACTTGTATCATATGTGTCAAAGCTTGGTTCACCCCCAGAGAGATGGACCCTCCTAAAGGGAACTTTGAGTACATGACCAGATTCTTCATGAGCAAGTTCTCTGCAAGATTAGTTGTGCATCAGAAAATTGCAGACAGCAAATGCAGCAATGAGAAACTTTATACAATAAAATGAACCTGAATTCCTTAGAGCTGTTTGGAAAACATTTTTCAAAGGGTGGAAGTGACAGAAAGTCAGGAGAATCAGGGTCAATAGTGTGCTTCCTTGGCTTGTTTTTGTCTGAATTGGTAGTGGGAGGATCAAAGGTTAATGTGGCTCTAGGGCCTTGGAAGCCAAGTAGCATGTCCTTCTTAGAAGCAGTTGAAATGCGCCCACCCACATCAAACCCTGGCAAGAAGATGGTCCTTGGGAACCTGGAAGGAACACAATGGCTGCCACTCTTGCAGACAACTGTCGTCAAGCTAGTATGCAGTGATGCCATTTCTGCAAATTAAAGATTTCAATCTGTGTGAAGTAAAGTAATACCGTACATGTAGCAGCCTTTAATCTCAAGAGTGCTGCTTTGTAACCCAGGTAGGTTCTTTTTGGTAATAAGATTTACACTTTCCCAAAAAAAAAAATACAAATTAAAAAAAAAAATTCAACAAAACCTTCAAACAAATCTAAAGCAAACTAGAGCAAACAAAAAATAAAATAAATTTTAATTTAATTTGAGTAGAGAAATTCACAGGGCCTCGATGGATTTAGCTGAATCTCATCAATTTCCGCACACAATAAAATACGAAAATAAAAATCAAAAGAAGCAGAGATTACATAAACGAAATTACCCATGTAGAGATGGAGATGTAGCCAACATGCATGCCATCGATCGGTTAAAAATAACAAAGAAATTCGATTTGCGTCTAATTTTCTCGTCAAACAAACAGAAAAATACAGTGCTTTCAATCAAGATGAAATTACACAAGAGAGAGGAGGATTTATTATTAAATTAAAGCGAAAGCTTAGGAAGAGGAACCTGGAAGGAAATGAGAATGAGGCTTATCTCTTCAACCTCAGAGACGAAACGAGGAGGCAGCGGAGCGACGCGATCGAGCTTCTTGTGATCACTCAACTTCGGTGGCTTCGATATTAGGCAAAAGCCTTCTTTTAGCCCCTCACCTTGTCAAGGTTATTGGTTTTAGCCCCTCATCTTATACTATAACATTTTGAACCCCTCATCTTATTAGAATTGTAAGTTTTAACCCTTCACCTTATACTATGACATTTTTAACCTTTCACTTATTAAAATTAAAGAAAATAACCTTATTTTGTAATATTCTGTTAGTTTTGTTAGTTAACTATTAATTTTATTAACTAATTGTTAACTCTATTAGTTGAGAATTAATTGACTGTTAATTATCAAAAACTTTTTTTTAACTAATAGAGTTAACAAAATTAACTTTATAATATTTTTTTTATTCTATTAATTAGTTATTAGTTAATTGTTAGTTGATAAAAATCTACTTTTAACTAATAGAGTTAACAATCAGTATAGAGTGAAGGTTATTTTTATTAATTATAATAGGTAAAAAGTTAAAACTTATAAATTTAATAGAATAATAAATTAAAAATATTATAATATAA